CAAGATTGGTGATGGTTTCAATGTTATACCTCGAAGTTTAAATGTGCTTGCTCCAGCACCATCATATCCAACCCAGATATCAGCTGTACGATTATCAGAGACCTTCATTTCCTTTCTACTTCCCACTTCAAACTTTCCCTTTGGTACCAATTGTTCCTTCTTTGAAATAAAGCCCTCTGCTCTGGTTTTGGTAATATTGTTTCTGTTGGCTTGAAAAGAAGTAAATCTATCAATTTCACTGCCTTGCGCCTGATGGTATTTGAGAGCACTTCCAGTACATGCAGGGGAGTGTTCTGTATCGGAATTGATAATAATGTACCTGGTAGCAGGAGTTGTTTGACTTGGGGTTGATAAAGATATGGTGGCTTTTGAGGAAGAAGCAAGCTCTTCAGTACTGGCAGGAAGAGGAAAACGGAGATTTTTACCACATAGTAGACAGGAGATTATAGTATCTGGAAGAGAATCATGAGAGAAACCAGGAGCAGCAATACAAAGAGACATAGAAGGCAATGATGTAGTATATAAAGAGTGAACAAAGATGTTGTATATGGGAATTGCGGTTGTAATAAAGAAAGAAAGTAATGGATACCTGTTTGAGCTTCCTTTTATAGTGAGAAAATGCAAAATATGATGCATTCAGAAAAGGATGTGACTTCAGTCACAATTATATATAATACAAATTTATGTTGCTGTTCAGCACTGGCACTTCAAACTGTCATGCAGCATTATTTATTAGCCACTAGTCCTAGTAGTGGTTATAGTATTTAGTAAGTACCAGCGGTGATAGTGTAGTATGGTGCACAACCATCTCACCTGTTTCATCAAAGCAACCACCCCTGTAACTAGAGTACCGCCATTTCACTCTTTTTGTCAACCACCACCACCACCCCTGCAATCAGAGTACCGCCATTTCACTCTTTTTGTCAACCACCCACTTCTACCACCACCTACTACAACTACAACCACCACCACCACAACCTTTAGAGAGATCTAAGAACAGCTTATCCTTATATTTAACTACCTTATCTATCTATTTACTGAATTTTTTTATTCTTTGACTTTTTTATTTTTATTTTTCATTTGACTTTTCGTGCTGGAATTTTGGCAGTTAGGAAGCTATAGGCTGCCGCCTAGTACTAGGACTAAAGTTTTCGCGAATTCACTAGTCACGTCTCTGCCGTTCTAGAAATAGATGTATGGTACACTAAATACTGAGCTACATTGTGGTTGGAATTCTCTGTAAATTTAATATGCTTTTCTTTTATATGTATTCTAACCTCGATATAAATTAGAACAATTCTTTCTTTGTTTTTGTGGAGATACAGCTTGGGAGGGGTGGTTGACGAGGGGTGGGCGCGGGCGCGAAATGACGAGTTGCGAAAAGTTTTGTCCCCCATCTGTAGTCTCAGACCAATTTTACGTGATTTTGAGTCTTGTGCGTCGGAGTCTAAAATCCTCAACGAAAATCGATCTGAAATAACTCATCTCTATACCATCTCCACAATCGACAAATATTAAGCCCCCCTTGATAGTATCCTTCATCGTGCAAAATTTAAGCTTTAGTTATGCAGTTACTACCATATCTACTCGAATAAGAAGTACGCCCTAGATTAGGCTAACGCGCCCAATATGGTAAAGAACTTGCGTAAAGCGGGAAATTAAAAAATTACGTACTCTTTTTAATTTCCAAATTTCCTGCCGTATACGGTAATTTTTGGGCGCTAACCTAATTAAGGGCGTGCTTTTTATTCGAGTAGATACGGTACTTCAGATTTAAAATTTATTTTCTGCCCTTATATTAATAAACCAAGGCAGTCGCCCTTCTAAAATATCACAACTTTTTGTTAGAAATTAAGAGATCGCACTGCCTCTCGTACTGGTACAAAGTATATACAGGCCTAGGGACCCCCCTTTTGGCACGCTTTGTGATATCTCTGACACTGGCTTGTTCCTGTCACGGTCATTAATCTGGTTGTGTTTGAACTTCAATTGAGTTATAGAGTACAGAGGTTGTATTTGTACGAGCTTGTACACACCAGATGGATCATAGTCTGTAATAATAAGGCTCATGGTCGCTGCAGCTTCTGAAAGCAATAAAATCACATGTTTTCTTGCCAGATATATACGGCCGTCACCCGAACAAACAGCAATACGCCACATGCCTCCAAACGGACTTGGATTGGAGCGGTTGGAAGTTTCGCACTAGTTGGCGACTTCTCGGAAGAAGTTTTGAGACAAGGTGCCATCTATATTACTTAGGGCATTACTTTCTTGCAGTAGGCTTTGGAAAGAAATCCAGGAATAATGTGCCTAACTCCTTCCTTTTAATGCATGCACCCCAAAAATATTTCTTGTTATAGGTGCTAGTATGCGTTTCTAGAATCCTAACTCAGTAAATTTACTTGTGGTCACAAATTTGTGGCCTGTCTGCATGCGGGAGGCGGCGTAGCAGCCGAAAACCTCAAAGCTAAATGAAAGGTTTGTAGCTACTGCGCGCTCATGAGGTTCGCACAACAAGCAAATAACAATATCCATAGGGGCGTTTTCTCATTATATTTTGGTACTATTCTAGTACCCTTTCATGCCAAGTTAATTGAACTATTACACCACATGTGAGCCCCTGTTCCTCTCCCTCAACGCGCCCAGCGAGAATACAGAACTTGTAGGTGTAGCCAGTGATGTCCCAGTATCATCAGTTCCAATCTCTGAGGACCCTCCGCGCCGATTCTGCGTTGCCCATAGTCGCTCCATCTGCCTCTGCGCCATCTGCAGTGCGTCTGCATGATTCGCATTACTGGTTTGAACCATGCTCAAAGCCTCTTCCCTCGATCCGATGGAATGTTCTAGACGCTTTCTCAGTTCGTCATTGGCGGCTAGTGCACTTTCCAGGCGTTTTTGAAGCTCTTTCTTTTCCTTGCGCAAAGCGGCACACTCACTCCCGAGGTTCTTTAGGCACGTCGAGGTTTCATCCAGCGCAGTCACCGGTTGGGTTCGTTCTGGATTCCTGCTTGCTGGTCCTTCGCCCCGCAGAATGGCCGTCGCGTGGGACGTGAGCATCTTCTCTGTGCTTGCCAAGAGTGAACGGAAATCTTCTAGGCCCGTCCCGTTCTGTCGCAGTAGGAGCTGGCTGGTTTTGGCGCAGACAACTAGAATCATACGCTGCAAGTCTGTGGAATTATCGTGTCTCACACCGTCGACGGTGAGCAAGGTGGGCGATACGGGAGGCGGGAAAAGGATGGCGCAGTTATCAAGGATTTGAGTACGGATGAAGGTGGTGTCGGCCATTTTTGATGCAAGGGAGGTAGTGTATCTGGATGGTATCTTGGAAGTTAGTGGTAATGAAATCGAACGCTAGGTTGATGTCGGGAAGAATAGCGATAACTTCGATTGGCAAATATGACAGTGGGTAAGAGGATATACTTATGTAGGCGGCTGTTTCCACCAGGATGAGAGTGATATTTTGTTGGTAATCCTATCCGGCCTTGAGGCGTCAGACGAAACGTACACTGTTGGATCCTGCGCCGCGCTGCTGCTTAGATATCGACCAATCATATTGAGTTTTATAGATGAGTGTTCGAGTAGAAGAAGCAAAATATAACAATGTGACCAATGGCATCAGGCTACCCAGGACTATTCATAGATATATATTTGTTAACATTTCCGTTGCGGAATGTTTCGTTTTGGGATGAACGCCGATTTTAACTTCGAAAGAGAAGTTAATTACCATGTCTTTCGGAACTCTCCCGCTATATAAACAATAGATCTACCAGCCCTATTAAGGAGGGAGACGAGGATAAAATGAAATTCCGGTCTGTTCGAGGGCCGAGTCATGACTCAGGTTCACTCTGTTTTTTTTAAGCTAAATGATGACTATTTCAGGTCTTATTGGTATTTTGCTGTGTTAGAGTCTTACTGTTGCTTGAATTTCTCGAATACTGTGGGAACCTACACTTTATCAACGAGGCAGTACGACGTCATCGTCTGTCTTCGCACGTAGTTTACATCACAGGTTGTTATTTTGGTAGAGCATGATGGGATGATACATCTAATTTTAAAAGTTTCGAGGCACGGAGGCGGCTTCGCCACCTGCGAAAATGAGGGCTGCAGCACCTCAGGGCGGCAACCCTAAGACTCCCTAAGCCCGTGGTCGATGGCCACCGACTCGAACATAGTAACTTGAAAAGGCCGGTCGGCCCGACCGCTGCATTTATACAGGCTTGTCATGTATGGTACCGAGCAGTAATGCCTCATCTAACCCTGTTCTATGATATTTTACAGGATAGTAATTCAAAAATGCCGTTGGCCCGACCGCAATCATGGTAGATGTCATTACTGCCTAGTATTCCGACATCATGCACAGTACTTACCTTGATTCCTATGTGTGATAAATCAAGCAATGTCAGTAAAACATATGTAGTTAAAGGTTAACGCAATTAGTACATCGGTACTAATCAGTAATGCACAATCACTGCTTGTAGTATTCAATCTGGTAATATGCCTCATTACTGTCTGGTATATCTTCATAATATGATCACCAAATTCATGGTACAGGTAGGCTGTGGTGCCCTGTAGCTAATGATAATCTTCAGTAGTGAATAGTACATATGTAGTAATGTGTAAGAGCGACAATTGTGTATAAATTGATAATCACCACTGTGCGGTAAGAGGCAGTATCGATATGTACAGGGTTGTACCTATTGTTTTGGTCTTATTCCACCTATGATATCTATCCAAAGATTTCCTACTATCTATAATAGTAGCATGCGGTATCATTCAGTAATGAACTGTATTGCGTAGTATAGATTCAATATTTAGACCTTTCTGATCCTCGTTGATCATTCGATGAGAATTATCTTTACAAATCAGTACTATATACTACCGATAAGTATCTGCCATTATACCGCCTCCGCGATTGTTATGTTTTGCTTCCTATACAATACACGATCAGGGCCCTGTATTATAGATAGCTAAGCTACAAGATGTAGCATAAGGAAAAATTAAGCCTCACGCGGGACTCGAACCCGCAACCTTGGGATTAAAAGTCACACGCTCTAGCCATTGAGCTAGCAAGGCTGATTGAGATATTATAGAAGTTGTACTCTATAAGGTATGTTGTGGCTCTGAAAGCTTAAGATCAGTTATCTAGAGTCGTCGCTCTTGAGAAACAGCAGGCATCGGGGTACTCCCTCATTTCCATACTTCCCCTCCCATCTAGGGACCTTTGATTCTTGAGTAAGTTCCCGTCTGTACATACAATCTCACCTCTACATTCATACACGAGTCACATAAGAACAAAGGTTGTCTCGAAGATTCTTCAAAGCTCTATCACGATATCATGATTGGTAAAGAGACTATGCATTTCTAATTGTTGCAATATGAATCCAGTCCACAACTCTGAGATCTCGCGGATACTCCAAACCCATGTGATACTGCCGGTTGTCGTGAGGTTGAACATTCATCACGCTTTCTGATGCATAATTCAAATTCACGTCTGTTGTAATTATGGAGCCCAGTGATTAGATAATACCCTTCTGTCCATTGCACATTTTGGCCATCGAAAACGTGATTCATCAGCTAGTCCGGCCATCCCATAATAAATCTGCATTCAGCCTATCAGGTACCTTCAGCCTTGTGTAGGGTATATCTATGTTCAGCGTGTGCATCTTTTTTAAGGCTATATACAGCAACTTCGGAAATGTATATTGAACACACAAGGCTTCACCGATGCTTTAAATCTGTAGAGTCAGGCAGCCGAGGCCCGGCCAAGCTGTAGTCTAGCTAAGCTTTCGAATAACACAATGCATTGCGCGTTTTCTACACTTCTCCCACTCCGGCCCCACAATATTAATATACAGGGGCCTCCTCACGCGCGGGGTATAACCTATGCAGATTTTTAACCGTTAAATATAACTACATCCTATGCAAGATCTACAATCAATGGTATGAAGGGGTATCTCCATCACCAAACCTCAGATCAAGTCTTAAAGCTGATGCCCTGAGTGACCCAATGAGTGCTCTTTTGTCAATCTCAGAACTAATCCAAGCGTACAAATAGTAGTGAGTAGGGATGGAACCGGTACCGGCACCTCGTCGATGAAGAAGACCTTCCAATTCCCGTGAGAACTGGCGAATAACTAATTAACTATAGCGCTTGTCTCCACATCCACCATGCACTTCTCCACCCTCCTCCTCTTATTCCCACTCCTAGTTTTTGCCTCCCCTCTCGCTGCTCCTGATGTTCTCGCTGCTCCTTAGCCTGTCATCGAAGAACTCACCCTCCCAGCTCGAGAGGCTGCCCCCCGCGCCGCCCCTGAGGTCTTCACTACTCCTGATGCTCTCGCACCGCCACCGAAGAACTCAGCCTCTCAGATCGATGTCGCCCCCAACTCCCCAACCCCAGCTTAGGTTGGAACCAAAGGATTATCCTGTTTCATCACGTGTACGTGTATCTGCACGGTGCAGAACCATTCGTACCCACGCACCGCCTGCCGCTGTTTCAGTTCCGCGATGCAGAGCCAAACATATACGTTCGTCTGTATCAAGTCTGGTGATTCTGTTAATGGGAATAGGTATGCACCCGCGGCCGGCTTTTGTTTCGTGTGGGGGAGTGTGCTGATATGCACTTAGGAACTGGGGAAGAATGACTGACAGAGTGTACTACGTATTTCGCAAACTGCTCAAATAATGGTAGGCTCTTCCCTAGGAAGAGAGAAGGGACTGATGATGAATAGGACAAATCATTACGTGCCCGTGATCATGAGGCGCCTAGGTTTGGCACCGGCGGGGTGGATGAGGTATGGAAACAGGCCCGGGGGGGGAGGGGGGGGTTGAAATTATGAACAAAAAAATAATTGTTGAAGAGGTGAAGATGGGAGAGGGTGAAGAGGAAATAATGGATTTGTTTAGATGAGATGGGAGTTAAGCAGGATCTGGCGGTCATTGGTACTTACATGAAACGAATTATACACTTTGCTTACAACGCCCACATGCACAGGGGCTAATACATCCCCTGACTCATGAGATGACCATGCTCGTACACAGGAGTTTGAGTAGTTTGTAAATATCGTTAGTAGTGCATCAAAGTGATACAATAATTGATGGCTGATATATGTGCCTTATAGACAACATAATCCAGAAATTTCGTGAGTTCCAGACTACTTATGTAGTGATGTCGGTGGGATGAGGGATATTTTGATCTGCACCTATTCGAAAGGTACCACAATCGAATTAAAAACTTCTTCGACTTAAGAGACGCATTACCTTAATGAGATTTCTGAAGCACAATTCATGTGAAAGATACTAAGTATTCTTCACTTGTGCTATGTACTGTATCTCCTCTAGCACCACGATATATCACTCGGATTTTGTTGGTCGAAAATGTTGAAATAGTGATGCTAGAGAAGCTTAATTGTGTTCTATCTAAGAGGGCCAAAAAGGCCATATATATATGAGAGTACAAGTACAGCTGCCATGAGCCAGTATCAGAGTCAACAGTCATCTCCGGCCATACGAGACATCACCGTCTCCGCTGTGTCTCCGCTCCGTCATCTCCGGCTGAGACCTGTATATGCAATACTTCCCCCTCTTGCTATACTCCGTGGAGCAAGAAACAAAATGAAATGAAACAAAGTGAATCTCATAGTAGCCTCCTTAAAACCCTGTGATCGTGAACAGGGAAAGAGTACTACCGTAGCCTGAGGATGGCCATCCATAAAACAAAGAAATCCGTCAATCCAAATGAAAAGTGAAACAACCTTAAATCCAACCTTAAATCCAACCTTAAATCCAACCTTAAATCCAACTCCCGTGATGGTAGAGCTTCCGCTCGTGACTCGGTATCGATGGGAGCTTTTGCTCTTAACTTATCTTCGATGGGAGCTTCCGTTACCAGCATATTTTGTAGCCGTCGATGATCGTCAATCGTACACAGCATATCGATCATGTCAGCATCTCAGTAGGTGGTTATACTCACCATGTATTTAAGAGCGCTTGCGCTCTTCCGAGCTCATGTGGAGTGCTTCCGCATGCTCCGTTGAATACCTCCGTAGTCATTGGCATTGGCAAGTAGATGCTTCTCAGTAATGTGGTTCGGAATAAGTGTCGGTGACCTTCCGGTCGACTTCTTGGGTGCAGTGTCTCTGATGTATTCATTTTCCCATATCTTCTCCCGTGATCTTTTCCTATGATCTTCTCCTGTGACCTTTTTCTGCGATCTTCTCCCCCTGATCCTTCTTCCTCGATAAAAGTCTTCTGGCGGAGGCTGATACCAGTAGCGCCGGTGTTTCAGTGAATCTCGATGGTGAAAGGTTGAGGTTCGTGTTTTAGTAGTTTCGTATGTATCTCGGTTTCTGCAAAGATAGCGGCCTCCGTACATGGGTATATTGTGAAGACTTCATCCACATACAGAAGCATCGGATTAACATCGCTGCGTGATTGTTCGAATCTGGAGTCGTATGTTTGATTGAGTCCGTTGATTGCTTTCTTGAGTCTGGCGAAGGTCGCAGATGCATCGGTGCCTTCCGGCAGTGTCATGTAGAGATTGCCATCAACTTCGTGATTGGGAGATGTGGTGTCTATAAAGTTAGCTTGTCAATAGGAGTATAAGTCATACTGAAGTTTATGTGTTTGTAGCTTGCCAGCTTTGATCAATTTAGATGCAAGTAATAATCATATCATCGCTTCTGCGGAGACCTTGAGTGGTATGGGTTGTACCTTGTGGTGGTAGTAGGTACGATCTGTGTTCAATAGTAGTAGTCTTGACTTCTTGGTCATGGCCGCTGCTTGGCGGGCTGAATCATTTATGCGGTGGAGATGTCGATTGTGAATGACGGTTTCTCTAGACACCGGTGGTGCAACCTCCTTGTCAGAAGGATGTGATCTCACACCTGTACATGCAGGGAGACTTCGACGCCTTGTCAGCGTCGGGCAGATGAATGTGGTCATCTGTAACATCAGTACGGCTGTGATTACTACGTCCGTAGCCTACACCCGTTCGACTGATTCCTGCATGGTCATGGAGAAGTCCATCCCCACCCATTTCTTTGTCTTGTACTCAGAGAAGTCCATCTCCGGTATCTTATTGTTGATAACTGACTTCGTCTGAATTGCTGTAGGTGGTAAACAGAAGCCTGGTGATCGGTGCTTGGTAGCTATCGCATTCTTTGTAGTGTTTGACTGCTTCTTCCCCGAACTCGATGGGTGTTTGTGAATATATTATCTTTGCATAGTATTTGCCTGAATCATTTGCTTGGTGATGCCATTCTTAAAGTGAGCATGTGGAGGCCAGAATTCATATGTGGTGCGGCTGCCTGATGGGATCAACCAGATGGATGTGTAGCGGGTGTAGTCGTGCCTTAATGTACAAGTTCAAATGGCTTTGTAGTGTGCCCGTGAATTAGTGATCGTATGGCCATTGGATGGATGTGTGTGCCAGGCATCGGTCCCTTGATCTTGGTTTCTGAGATTGTAAGAGACTCCTGAGTGGGCTTTGGTGTACGACAATAAGTGCCCTGGGTTGGAGAGCGCCTCGTGGGCCAGAAGCCGTGGAATGTGGACTTGCGAGTGCGGCTTGTCTCATTCTTTCTTCTCTCATTCCCATTCTCTTTTCTCATTCTCATTCTGTTTCCCTTTTCCCTTTCTTGGGGGTCGATAACGATATCAATGATGTGAGGGCCGCTGACACGAATGCTCTTTCGGGAGTGATGATTGGCGGTGATGGCAGTGACGATATGGAGCATTTACCGCTCCCAAATGTGGGCATGTATTCGCCCGAATTTATTTGGTTTATCGAGAGGAAAGGTAGTCGAATGTAGGCGTGTATAGGGAATTGATATAGTAGCCCTGGATCATGATTCATGACAGCTCCGCGATGGGTGGCCGTTACTTTGTGACTATCTCCGCGTTCGAAGAGTAGGTGAGATTGTAGTTTCTTGAAGATGTGGGAGCAGTGGCTGCGGTGAAGGTAGTGGCGGTTATATGATCGACTGTTCGTTCATCATTTCCTCCCTGCCCGGGGTTATCTTTTCGGTTTCCGTTTCCGCTCTGAGCTGCGTTTCTCTTCCTGGGATTTTCTG